CGCTGCCACCACCACCACCACCCCAGTAGCTCCATCCATGAAGAAGCCTGGTGATGTGTTTCTACACACACTAGTAGCTCCAACCATGAAGAAGCCTGGTGATGTGTTTCTGTAAAGGTTACAGGCATGACGACCCTGTGCAGCACCTGGGATTGCCCTGAGTCAAAATGAACTTGAAACAATGCTTTTGGTTTAAGTTGATTAAAATGGGTAGTAAAGGTATGACGGGGGTGGGAGGGGGACTTGTTTCCTGAGCTTAGGGTTGGGACAGACTCTCAAAGTGCTCGAGCGGGATTGGAGGAATGGAAACGGAGGACTGCAGGGCTCTAAGGAAAGGACGTAGAACCGTGCACTCAGAATCAGTGGAGGTGGGAAGAAGTGAATGGATTTGGGTTATATTTTGGACCCAGTGCCAACAGAGCTTATAATGGAGGTTCTAGGAGGGGAGCGGGTGAAGAAGGGTTTGTGACCTAAGCCAGTGGGTGTTTACGGAGCTGAGGCAGATGGGAAGGAGACCACTAGAAGGAGAGATCGTACTGAGTCGGTAGCAATAGCCGTAGAAGTCCTTTATGGCAGTGCTTTTCAATGTTCAGAGGAATCACCTGGAATCATGTTAAAATGGGAGTTCTGATCCACTTGTCAGATTAGAACCTGAATTTCTGCATTTCCAGTAAGTTCTTAGGTAGTAAGATGTCACTGGTCTGGGATCATACTTTGCTTTATAAGGACCGAAAGACTAATCTGTACAGGGTTAATAAATTATGAGTGGTCCTCTGTACAGAAGTTGAGAAACCCTGAAGGAAATTCCTATGTGGTAGTATGCTGATGTGCAAATGAATGGAAATTTCTAGCAATATTTTGTTTGTCTTAGGCATGAACTGAGCCTAGTCTTTCTGTAGCCTTTTTAACAGCTCATCAGCATTTTCCAGACCTCAGACACCCAGCCCCTCTTGCTGACACTCATATGGGAAACCAGCCGTGAGGGCTAGAAGGTCTGGGAGGAGGGTGGGCACTGGGAACAGACTTGACTTTGGAGGGTCACCAGGGAGGAAACATGCCGGAGACGATGACTGTTAACCTTGCCCTTCCTGTTGCAGTCTCAGTCAGGGAGTATTCAGAGCGCTGTGATGCTGGACAAACAGAAGGAGCTTGACAGCAAAGTCAGAAACGTGAAGGACAAAGTGATGGTGAGTATCAGGGGGCTACATGGATCTTTACCTGGTAGCTTTTTATTGGGAGGAAAGAGCGTTAAATTGCCCAAGTGCAAACCTTACCACCGATTTTCCTCTTTTAAGACTTTTAAGTAATTGAGAAAAGTTTTGCTGAAGCTCCTGGCCATCAATAAACAGTAAAAACCAATAACCAGACATTTTTTATGGCGCTGGTTACAACATTCAGTGACCTTATATTCTTCCTTATAAGATCACATGGTTGACTTTGCTCCCTCAACCAGTGAAATAGATGTTGCCGCATAGAACAGCCCTCATAGGTCTGTCTGTCGAATCAGGGTGTGCATAATGTTTCTGATTAAAGCACAGCCTCCGTAATGGTGTGATGAGACATGTGAGGTAATGGGTGGTGTCAGCAGTTACTCTAGCACCGGTGGTGGCGGTTGTCGTGGGACAGCAAGAGGAGCTCTGCTTCCCACGGCGCCTGTGTCTGTGGGAGAGGCCTTCCCGCTGAGCAGCATGGTCCTGCTGCGTCTGAGTCCCACTGCCATGACATTGGCTTTGTGCTCCAGAAACCATCTTTTAAAACTCTAGATTCTTTAGAGAAAATCCACTTCTGCCTCCAGGAAAGATTCACTAAAGTATAAATCAATGGCCATGAAAATCCAGAGAAGGATGTGGAGAAATGTGAGCCGATCCTAAGCAAGTGAGGCCTGTTTATGGAGGGAACATACAATGTATTGTCCAGGCTGAAATACATTTGAGCAAGTTAGAGGGTATTAATAATCATTAACGGACCCCTGGAAGCATAGTGGTTATATGTTGGGCTGCTAACCTGGAGGTTGGCAGTTCAAAAACACCAGCCGCTCCATCAGAGAAAGATGAGGCTTTCTATTCCTGTAAATAGTTAATCTCAGAAGCCTGCAAGGGAAGTTCTACCCTGTCCTATAGAGTCCCCATGAGTCAGAATTGACTGAATGGCAGTGAGTTTGAGTTTGCTTAATAATTTATCAGGAGCCCTGGTGGCTACACATTGAGCTGCTAACTACAAGGTCTGCAGTTCAAACATACCAGCCGCTCTGCTGGAGAAAGATGAGGTTCTCTACACTAGTAAAGATATACAGCCTAGAGACAATTCTACTCTATCCTATGGGGTCACTATGAGTCGGAATCCACTTAGTGAGGTTTTATTGGTTGTTCCAGTAGATTGATGGCCTCAGGAACCCTATATAGGGTCATGATGTGTCAACGTCGTCTCAATGGTAATGGGTGGGTGGGATAAAAGCAAGAGGAGCTCTGGTGGCACAGTGGTTAAGCACTTAGCTGGAAACTGTAAGGTTGGTGGTTCAAACCCCCCTGCTTCTTGGGGAGATGTGGAGGGTGCTTTCACTGAAGGATTCGGCCTTGGAAACCCCAGGGGACTGGTGTTCTCTGTCCTCTAGAATTGCTCTGAGCTGGAGCCAAGTCTAGGGTCCAGGGTTGGTTTTGATATAAAAGCACCAATCTGTCCCATAAGTCTTTGGAAACTGATCAGTCGAAAATACATATATGTCTGTGTTTGTAGTGTATAGAGCATGAAATCAAGACCTTAGAAGATTTACAAGATGAGTATGATTTCAAATGCAAGACCTTGCAGAACAGAGGTAAGCTTTATAAGGGAAGCAGCACTCACAGAGTGTTGTGTTTCTTGTCTGTGGTAGATACCAGCGACGAGTACTCCATATTTGCCAAGCGTTTGATGACTGTGTCACCCTGTGATGACCCAGGCCAGGTTTTCTCAGCCTAGACACTACTGACCTCCTGGACCAGAAAGTTCTCTGTTCTGGTTTTGTTTGTGGGGGCAGGGTTTGATCCTGGGCATCATAGGCCACTTAGCAGCATTCCTACCAATCTGCCACTGTTACCACGCATCCTAAGCCTTCACCATCTCAACTACCACTGGTGGAGTGGTTATTTATTTATTGTGCCCACCCCTTAGCAGGGGTGTGGGTTACCGGTACCTGAAGTTCCTTCCTGTAACCGTCTCCACAGCTAAGCTTGCATTTTCTCGCATGGTTTACAGTGCTTCCCGTGTGTTTCTTTGTCGCTGAGTCTTCATGACAGCAATATTGCCACGGGCAGTCACCGAAACGTGCGTGGGTTGTGTAGAATGTGTGGGTACTGCTGCCACCCTGGGAGTCATTTTAGAGGACACCACGGTGACAGTGTCAGTGTGATGTGGGTAGCAAAGGAGGGAGAGAAAAAGAATCCCAAACTACTGCTTCTTGATTGTCTACTTCTTCAAAGCTACAGGTACGCTCTGCAGAATTCTATCTGAGGTTTAGAATCTTGTCACTTATACTCAGACATCTTGTCACTAATTCTGAAAATTGCCAGGCACAGTACTGTTCCCAATTGACCTGGGTCATTGAAAATGACATTTTATACGTAGGGCTTCCCTCCCCTCTCCCCCACTTTTCTTGCTTTGTTCAATAAAGATGGAAGGCAACTAAATGTTGGTCTATTGCCAGATAGCTTTCCTGTTATTTGCACCACCGTTCTCTTAAATCGATGTGAGTCTTGATTTTAGGTGGGTCTGTCTTCTCTTACATTTATGTGTGTCTGCTCTCTCTCACCGCAGAGCATGAAACCAACAGTGTGGCAAAGAATGAACAGAAACAAGAACAGATGTTACTGCAGAAGATGTTCTTAATGCTTGACAGTAAGAGAAAGGTAGCGATGCACTTTTTGGATTAACATGTTACTTTTTAATAGAATTGTAAGTAATGGACTTACAGTTTGGAATAGGAGAAAATGAAATTACTGTTACTTGGTTTAGAGCACCAGTTGAGAATGGAAAGGTATTTGCTGTACTTGAAAAAAAATATTTCAAAAGATGTTTAGTGGTTAAAAAGGGAATTGATTTTCTTTTGTGTCTTCCTCATCTTTTAGGAAGTAGTTCATAAAATAATAGAACTATTGAATATTACTGAGCTTACCCAGAATGCCCTGATTAATGATGAGCTTGTGGAGTGGAAGCGGAGGCAGCAGAGTGCCTGTATTGGGGGGCCACCCAATGCCTGCCTTGACCAGCTGCAGAACTGGTAAGAGTCTCCAAAGTAGAAAACTGGTAGCTGTGGGCAAGCCACGGGAACGTGTGAAGTACACATTCGAGCTGTGCCAGCCCCAGTTGGGTCAACTCAGAACGTAGTCCAGCTGGTTCTCACCCTAAAATGCTCACTTGGAACCAAAACCAAACCCAACCCACTGTCGGCAAGTCAGTTCCAACCATAACACCCTGTGGCACAGAGTAAAACTGCTCCCTAAGGGTTCTGAGATGAAATCTTTAAGGGACCATACAGCCTCATTATTCTACCACAGAGCAACTGGTGGGTTGAATGTCCAACCTTTACTTTACCGGTCAAATGCAAACCTGCACCACTCAAAAAGCCAAAACCAAATTCACTGCTGTCAAGTCGTGATGACCCTGCAGGACAGGGTAGACTCCCCCTGTGAGTTTCCATGACTATAAATACTTATGGGAGTAGAAAGCCCCTTTTTCTCCCATGGACCAGCTGGTGGTTTCAAACTGCTGACCTTGACGTTAGCAGCCCAACGGGTAATCATTATGCTACCAGGGTTCCTCTGTGCCACCCAGGGACCAGTTATCCTTAGAGGCCTATGGCAGTCCCAGACTGCCTAGAAGCACCTGTGTGCAGCTGTCTCCCCTGAGGATACGCAGAGGCTGTCTGGCCTGGGCTGGAGCTGTTCTGTCCACGTTACTTTTGTTCCTCCCTGGGTAGCTCAGCTCCTTGATGCTGGGGACCTCTCTAGGCTGCCCTCCCACCCCCACCCCCCTTCCTGCATCTCTGTGCAGTGCGGCGAGCAATGGCACGTGCTATGTGTTGCCTCTAGCCTCTTGTTGGCTTCTGGGACCATTGACTTTGGTTCTCTGAGGTTCAGGTTGCTTTGGGGCATTTGTAACTGAGACACCTGTGTTTCTTTCCTTCCCAGGTTCACCATCGTAGCGGAGAGCCTGCAGCAGGTCCGTCAGCAGCTCAAGAAGCTTGAGGAATTGGAGCAGAAGTATACCTACGAGCAGGACCCCATCACAAAAAACAAACAGGTCTTGGGAGACCGCACCTTCACTCTGTTCCAGCAGCTCATTCAGAGGTAGTGGACCGGGCCTGCTCAGTGCCTTTTGTGGCGGGGAGACCCAGAGGAGTGCATGGTGATTCGGATCACTTAAAAGGGTTCAGTACCTCATGGACATTTTAGTGCAAAGTGACGTGTCCCCAGAAATCCAGCCTTGTGTTCCCTATTATGCCTATCATTCCCAAAACGGCTCCCATTATTCTGGCTCTTGGGCTCCAGTGTGTGTGAATTTGTGCCATCTTTGTTGAGAGTTGGGCGGTCCTGGAGGACAGAGCCTTGTTGTCCCTCTCGGTCACACTGTTCCCTTAGCAGGACCTGCCATGCTGCTCCGCCTTCTGTGGGCATCCTGCACGTGCTTGGTAGATAAAGCTGCGTCACCGGGTGGGCCAGGAGCATTTACAATGACCTAGTCACTTGACCCAGTGAAAACGCCCCTGGCTCCCTTTCTCTATCTACTCTCCCCACAGGACTGTGTGCCTGTTACATTAATAAATATTTGGGGACATTTACTTGGGTTTTTTAGAGTAAATCTGAGTCTTAATACAGGTTTTCATATGAACATAATCGAGTGATGGGTTTTCGTTTTGGAAGAATATCACAGGTTATGACAACCTCTGTTTTCACCAAATGCCAATGAGACCTGGGGCAGTGTCACTGGCCAACTAGAAAGCATGCACCTTGTGAGGATGCGTCAGATTCACTTCTTAGGTCGTGGCCTCTCACTCCTATCTTTTTAAAGGAATGTAAAATTATTTTGCTGCCTCTGTTATGGGAATGCTAATTTGGCTACAATTTGCTGGGTATTCACAGCTCGTTTGTGGTGGAAAGACAACCTTGCATGCCAACCCATCCACAGAGGCCACTGGTCCTGAAGACGGGTGTCCAGTTCACCGTCAAGTTGAGGTAACTCCTGGCTCTGGCTCTTAGCTGCACCCCCCGGAGTTCCTTTTGCAAATGGTCTTGTGCTGTAGGGTACTTTCCTCACTAGTCACTTTAACACGAAGTCTTACTTATACTCAAAACGAAATGCGTGCACATTTGCACATCAGGTGTTTTCCCTAATTGTAAAAGCAATACGCGTTCGGTGTAAAAAGTTGAAGAAATGTCTGTGTCCAAGAGGAAAGTTCCCAGCAGCCTCATCCCCTCTTGAGCCTGAGTTCTTGCCCTGACTCCATGGCAGTGGGTGTTTTGGTTTTTTTAACCACATATTAGATACAATGTTAGTAAAAAGCAATGTTCACTATTTTTCACCCATCCCGTTGGCAAAAAGGGGAAATCTTGATTCACGCCCCATTGGCAAGGTTCTGTAGGGGCACAGAACCCGCCCAGGTTTAAGTGCAGCTACAAATCAGTGGTGTTTGTTGTTTGTTTGTTTAATCATTTTATTGGGGGCTCATACAACTCTTATCACCATCCGTCCATCGTGTCAGGCACATTTGATGCCATCATCATTCTCAAAACATTTTCTTTCTACTTGAGCCCTTAGTATCAACTCTTCATTTTTTCCACTCCCTCCCCACCCCCTCCCTCACAAACCCTTGGTAATTTATAAATTATTATTATTTTGTCTTGTCTTACATCAGTGGCACTTATCAGACTTAATATCACAGTTTTGACCCAGCCATGTGACAAGTAGGAATATATCCTAAAAACATATACTTTTAAAAAGATGCCAAGAAAGACGTGCATTGTTTGCAATAACTAAAAGTAAGGACAAGGAGGAGGGACACCTAGAAGTCCACACATAGGGAAATGACAGAATAAGTAAGTTGTAATTGCTACTTTTTAAATGTAATGACTTTTATTTATTTTGCCTTCTAGACTGCTGGTGAAATTACAGGAGCTGAACTATAATTTAAAAGTCAAAGTCTTATTTGATAAGTAAGTTAAAGATAAATGTTAAAGTGCCAATGCTATTAAAGCCCAGGGGGCCAGCTGCCCAGCAGGTGGCCCCCTGGGCTTTACTGGGAGGCAGTTTGCAAAGCTCGGGCCCTGGGTGCTGAGCCCAGGGTCATGATGCTGCTGTGGGTGAGCAGAGGCCGGTTCAAACAATCCCAGCTGACCGACGTGGGCCCTCCTTTTCTGCATACTGGGGACTCAAAGCTGTTGTCAACCTTCCAGTGTCTTTACAGACTTTCAGTGAATGAAGAAATATGTGCATTTTATGGAATCATCCAGTGTCCTCTTTTCTTGGAGTGGGGAGACCTGCTGGCATCGTAGTTCTGTGTTGGGCTGCTAACCGCAAGGTCAGCAGTTCAAAACCACCAGCTGCACCACAGAGAAAGATGAGACTTTACTGCCATAAAGAGTTAACTGTCTGGAAAACTACTGGGGCAGTTCTACCCTGTCGTAAATAGTGGCTATGAGCTATGAGTCACATTGAGTTGTTGGTAGTGAGCTTGAACTTTTCCTAGGGAGAAAAACAAACAAACCAGTGTTGTCCAATCCTTTCCAAGTCGGACTGACCCGCCTTGAGTCTGAGGCGAGCTCCATTCTATAGGGTGTTCCTTCCAGCGGCTGACTCGAGCGAGGTCACCAGACCCTGTCCCTGCGGAGCCCCTGGGCAGATCTGTGCTGCCACCCTTCCAGTAAGCAGTGGGGTGTTTATATCAGCGCCGTCTTTGCCCCAGGCCACCCCTTAATCACACGCAAGGTTGAAGCTCTGCCAGCCTCCCTGATTCTGTGCAGAGTCTGAGGTTGCTTCTGAGCAAAGCTGGTGGCATTTGGGGAAGCTGTGTGCCGTATCTTTGGGAAGCTGCAGGTACCCTTAGCTCTTCTGGGCCACGGGGACCCAGGAGTGGGCAGTATCTCACAGGGCTCCAAATGAACCAGACCCTTCCCATTTTGCCCTTAGACCCTCGACCTGGGCATGCATTAGCCTCAGAGCAGGATGGCCTCTTCCCTGCTCTGGGTACATGTCATTCTTTTCTAGGCTTGTGGGAACCTACCAGCCGGGCCAGTCTAAGACACCACCTATGAGCCTCCAAATCACTGTCCTCTGACTTTCGTCTTTCCTACTCCTATAAAGAATACGTTTCCTTGAAGTACAGTCGGGAACTTCATCTGTCTCCCCTGCGGTCGTTGCTTTCTGTGATCAGTTAGCTTTTGCTATATCACACACCACTCTAAAACGTACTGTCTTAAATTCAAAAAAATTGACTATTGTTCACATTCTGTGGGTCGTTGGAGGATCTGCTGGTCTATGAGCTGGGTGGTGTCACCTGGCCTTGTTATATGTCTGGGAGGCTTATCTGAGGGCTCACCTTTTTATAAGGTGGTGATATTCCAAGAGGGTGAGAGTGGCAGAGTGTAAGGCATCACTTGGGGCCCAGATTCAGCCCTTTTACGGCATCACCCCCAACACCTATTAGTATAAGCAAATCAAGTCCAGCCCAAATTCAAGGGATAGGGATGTACAGTCCACCCCTTGAAGGGCGGTGGCCACAATGATTCCTCAGCCATCTGTAGTTCACCACTCTACTCAGCTCCACCCCTCTTTATGCTCCTTGTCTTTTCTGCATGGTACCAGGGCTGATATTCCTTCTCGGCTCTGATGATGCAACTTCATATCAGTTTTTTCTAAATTGTTTCTGTTTCCAACAGGGAAAAACAAATGATTCTCCTAGGCAGTAGTGATCATCATTCACAAAACATTGAACTTCCAACTGGACTAGCTTACTCCTTTACCTATTTAAATTACTGTTGTTAGGTGCCGTCAAGTCAATTCCAATTCAGTGGCCCTCTGCACAGCACCAGGGACACTGCCCAGTCCTGTGCCAGCCTCACCCTTATTGCGCCCGTTGTTGCAGCCACTGTGTTGAGCTAGCTCATGGAGGGTATTCCTCTTTTTTGCTGCTTTTCCCATTTTAAGTGATTTGCCCACTCGTTTAATTGTGAGTGAGCTGCTACATTTCTAGTCCGCACCTACACCACTACTAGTAGTAGATACACTATTTTATCAGAACACAGAAAAGTAATTGCTGAATTTATATAAGATGCAAAGCCTCTCAATCTTTTTCAGCCTCTAATTATGAAAGGGTGCTAGTTTCCACAAAGAATCAACAACTACAGTTTCTTGAGTTCAGAAGCAACTCTCTGTTGAGTGCTTAGCCTATGCGGACACTGAGTAAATGCTCAATAAATGGCAGCAACAAGCTTACATGTAGTGAGGGCTTACTCTGCTCTTTGTCCACACTAAATGTTGCACTCCTCACCACATCCTGTCAGGTAGGTAGATGCTGGTGGCACACTGTACAGATGAGAAATGAATGACCCGGGTCCTTTATTTGCTTCAGAGTACCAGGCAGAGCTAGTACTGGGTAACGGGGTGGGGAGTGATTAACTGAAAGGGGCCAAAAACCCACAGGTGCAAGTTATTTTGCAATTATCTTTCATATTATATGTACATATATAAATAATTAAAGCTTATTTTAAATTATGTATATATATGAGAGCAAGCACTCCACTGGTCTAGTGGTTTACAAATTGGGCTGCTAACTACAAGGTCAGCAGTTCAGACCTCCCAGCCGCTCTTCTGGAGAAAGGTGAGACTATCTCCTCCTGTAAAGATCTATCGTTTGAGACTCAGAAGGCACAGTACAACTGTGTACTGGGAGTTCCTAGGGTCAGAATTTACTTGACGGTAGTAGATTGTTGGTTTGGGTATCTACATATTTTTTTCTGTTTTGTTTTTTTTCCAGAGATGTGAATGAGAAAAATACAGTAAAGGGGTAGGTGGTCTACTTTATATCTTATGTCCTTATTTATTTCTTTGTTTAATAGTTCAATGCCCTTTAAGTATTTCTACCCCGTATTGTACAGTTTTAGGAAGTTCAACATTTTGGGCACACATACGAAAGTGATGAACATGGAAGAGTCCACCAATGGAAGTCTGGCAGCAGAATTCCGCCACTTGGTAAGGAGACCATACTCCCCGCCTGCCTGTTGTCTTTGCTGGTTAGGCCCTTCTGCCAGCTGTGGTAGGCACAGGCGGGCCCTTTGTGGCACAGATGGCACAGAAGACTCTCTCGTCTGCGTCTGGTGGTTTCTCACACCGCGAGGTTGAGGGACCGTGGTCCCCTCTTCACTCCACTTCCTCCCAGGCTCGTTCTAGGAAACACTCCATTTTGGATGCGGCTGTCTCCATAAATAGATTACTTAGAGATTTGCACGTCAGTAATCTGCAGTTGCTGCTTCTATAGTCTCAAAGGCCACACTAGACTTGCAGTTTTCTCCAAGGTCACTGTTCCCACGTCTCTGACCATTCCCACTCCCAAATATGATTGTGCCCCAAGATTCTCTCCTCAGCTCCCTTCTTCACATTCTTCCCTCCAATGCCCTCCCCCCCCCCTCATGCCACTGCCTGTGCTGCTGCCTATTGCCCCTTTGTCTAGGGAGACGTAGGCACCGTTGACTAGGAACAATAGGATGGTTGAGTGGGCACCAGCTTGCCCACCTCCCTGAGAACAGGTGCTCCAGTCCTCCTCTGGATGTGTTTGGTGCTGAGCCCAGTGCTCTGCCAGGGCCCTGAACCCACGTTGGATTCAGGCCACCCTTCTCCATGGGAGACCATCTTATGGGTACACAGTCATCACAGCTAAGAAGCCAGGTGTAATGTAGGGCTTCTGGGGCAGTCCACAGCTGCACTGTGTACCTCCCTACACTCCTGGGGGACTGATGTCCTTTTGAGGGCACCCTTAGTTGGGTCTGGAGTTCCACGACCTCAGCTGGCAGACTGAAGAGGGGAGGGAGGGAGAGCAGGGTCCAGAGCCCGGGCCAGCAGAAAACAGTGAAGGAAGGGGAGAGAGGGAGTATTCAGGGAAGGACCGTAAGGGGCAGGGGGTAGGATACCCGCCTGGCTGTCCCTACCCCTCATGGTGGGCAGTGGGAGGGATCACTTCTGCGTTAGTCCATCTGATTTATCTCAGGCGTGCTTTGTTCTGGCTTTGATCTGATTTGTAAACGAAAATAGCAATGCGGACTGTTAAGATGCCATTTACTGAGATAGTTTCTTGTTTTACAGCAACTGAAAGAGCAGAAAAACGCTGGCACCAGATCAAATGAGGTGAGACTCCACCTTGGGAAAGGACCCTGGCCCAGCAGATGTGTCCAGTGGGGGGGGGGTAACGTCCCTGATGGTGGCTGGGGACACCTTACAGAGGGGTCAGCTCCAGCAGGGGGGAGAAGCAGAGCGTTGCGGGCTCATGCATGTCTGTGGCAGCAGTGCGGGTGCACATGCTGCTCTGTGGTCACCATCCAGTCATGCACATGCACGCGCACTCGACGCTTTCACAGCTCCGGGGGATCGCTAGGGTGGGTTGGCATTCCTTATGCTCTGCAGGCGAAGCAGTGGGTTCACAGGGCATTCCAGAATTTAGCTAAGGGCACACGAGGAATTACTGCCCACGCTGGCTAATTGGCACTCAGCTACTAACCTAAATGTTGGCAGTTCTTACCCACCCAGTGAAACTGCTCGATCCAAGACCTAGCAATCCACTGCCACAAAGATGGCAGCCACGAAAGCCCGGTGGAGCAGTTGGACTCTGTCACACAGGAGTCGCCGTCCACGGGAATGGACTTGAAGCAGAGACTGTGTTGTGTTGTGTGACTCCATCAACCCCACCTGCACGGTTCAGAGCTTTATGGGCTAAGTCTTCCACCTTAGTGGTTTCTTCTTTCCTCCTTTTTCGAACCTGGTCCTTTTCATAGGAATGGTACTCTCTGTGAACTTGGAGCCCTGGTTACATGCTGGGGTGCGGACCCAAAGGTCTGCAGTTTGAAACCAACAGCTGCTCCCGGGAGAAAGGCAGGTGGGGCTTTGGACTCCTGTACACAGTTACAGTCTCAGACACTCACTGGGTCAGCTCTATCTTGTCCTATCCAGTTGCTATGGGTCGGCATCAGCTTGATGGCGGTGAGTGTGAGCTCCGAGGTTTCTGTGTTGGTGAAGTGTTAAGAAAGGAAGTGTGTGCGGGGCACAACTTCAGAGGAAACCTAGGTTGCTGCCACCTGCTTTCTAGCTCGGGTTTGCCCCCTAACTACTTTGGTGACCTCCCCGGGACTGAGTGTCTTCCCCACAAACAGACAGCCACTGCCCCACCGTCGCCCTGAGGGTGATGATGCCGACAGGAGACCATGTGCTTGAAGGCTCACTGACAACCATGGCATTTCTGAACGAAGGTGCTCTAGTCCACTGAGCCTGTGTGAGGCCACCCCTCTGGCCGAGAGTGGGGAAGGACGCGGTGGCAGTCTGACCCTGGAAACCTGCGGGAGCAGTCCTCTGCCCTAGAGAGGCACTGTATGAAGACACGCAGTGGCCATGGGCTTGGTACTTGGGGGACAGGGAATGACTGCTGTAGTGCTGAAATCCCTGTCTGGGTGAAGTCCACCACCCGTGCCTCGGTGGGTGTGGGCAGACAGATGGAAGAAGCGAGGGCAAAGGAGCCTCCAAAAAACCAGACCCGCTGCCATCACGTCAGTGCTGACTCATAGTAACCCCCTGTGGTTTCCGAGACTGTAACTGTTTACGGGAGTAGAAAGTGCTATCTTTCTCCTGTGAGCTGCTAGAGGTTTGGAACAGCAGACCATGTGGATTGCGGCCCAGTGGGAACCACTCCACCACCTAGGAGTCTTAGCCAGGAGAGACCCCATTAAACACTGCTAACCCCCATGTCTTTTTGCTATGAGTCCACTCATCTTACTCTCACGGTACACTGAGATATTTGCAGTGTGTGTGTGCATCACCCACAATGCAGTCTGAAACAGGATGCTGTGTGCTCTGGGCATTGTATGACTGCTATATCCAAATCTTACTGAGCCTGGGGCGGAGGCCTGAGGAACAGGCTCTAGCAGCAGCAGGGTGGGAGCAGAGTTAAAGGAAGACAGCGGGGAGGGAGCAGAGTGAGGCCCACTCCACCTGCTGCTCCACCCTCCCAAGCAGAGCTGCAGGAGCAGTCTGGCTTGAATCCTCCCTAAATGCTCACAAAGCCCAAGAGCCAGCACCCAGAGCCTCCCCACCTGCCTGTACCCAACCCGTGGTGGTCCAGTGCTGTCGGAGTCTGGCTTCAGGGTTTTATATGACTGAGGGAAAATAATAAACAAAAGGAGAATTGCTGTCTCTTAAGTCTTAAGAGAACTAAATAACTTAATAGGAGCACTGAATCATACCACCTGACGTTACTTGAATGGAGAATGGACATTAAGCGACTTAAATAAGGTGACCTGATTTTAAAATTGGTAAAGCGGGGGACACCATTGATAAAGCTCATATCCTGGTGAAATAGCCACATGGCAGCCGAAAACCATATACCCTAGCTTGTTGTACATTCTTTCAAAAAATCGGGACTTTTTAAAAATGCCGCGGGACGCAGGAAAAATTGTTAAAAATCGGGACATCTGGTCACCTTACTTAAGCAACGCATACCTATAGTTATCGCTGGGGACGGGCTACCAGTGGCCGTGGAATTGATTTTGACTCTTGACAACCTCACATGAGAGAGTAGAGCTGTGCTCTGGGGAGGGCTTCAGTGACTGTTTTTTGTTTGTTTGTTTGTTTGTTTGTTTTCCTCCGAAGAAGATGAGCAAGGCTTTCTTCTCAGGTGCCTCTGGTGGATGTGAGCCTCCGGCCTTTCTGTCAGTTAATCACATTAACTCTCATCTGTGCTATGCAGGGACTTAGTCTTGGATTGATTCTTACAAACTGGAGTCTTCTGAGCTGGCGGAGCGCATGCAGGATCTCTACAAGCTCTCACAAGTGTTTATTAGGCTTTGGAAAGTGGCGCGTCAGCTAGTGAATTATCTCCTTCCCTTGTACTTTTCTGTTTGAAGGGCCCTTTCATTGTGACGGAGGAGCTTCACTCCCTCAGCTTTGAGACCCAGTTGTGCCAGCCGGGCTTAGTAATCGACCTCGAGGTAAGACTTACCATAATCCAGAAGTAAATTTTATTGATTTCCAACTGCTATGTACATGTTTTTCCCCAAATTTTGCTTCAGTGATCTTTACTAAGTGGCTAAAAGCAGGTGATCTTTTAAGGAACTACTATCTTTACATTAACATAATAGTTCAGGAAGCTAAGAACTGATTTAGCCTTCAGACGCCATACACTAAAATGCTCCAGAGGAGCTAGCCTGTGTGAACATATTTTATTAGCCAATAGCGCTTGTTGATTTGACACAAAGGAACGTTCCTGAGAAACTGCACTGTGAACGAACGCATGTAATGCTGCACTTTTCGTTTTCAAGTATGAAGCACCTGCAACTCCACGAGCAAGCTCCTGCTTAGTTTTGAAGTGAAGCAGTTGTCTGCAGGTCATGTCTCTGTCCTTTTTCAGACGACCTCGCTGCCCATTGTGGTGATCTCCAACGTCAGCCAGCTCCCGAGTGGCTGGGCCTCCATCCTGTGGTACAACATGCTGGTGGCGGAACCCAGGGTACACAGAACACATCTGCTTTCATGTTGAATTAACCAGAGGGACCCTGTTCCAGCCCCCACGTGTCTGGAGGGCCACTGTTCGGAATAAGTGACAAAACTCTTGGGGCACTGCTAATGTCTTGAGGAGTTCTGGAGACATTCAACATGTGTGCATGCTAAGAGAGAAGAGTTTGTATTTTCCTTTAGGCAACTTTTGGACTGCTAACTTCAAGGTCCACAGTTCAACCCTCCTGCCTCGTTGCAGGAGAACGTGAGGCTGTCTGGATCCATAAAGATGTATGGCCGACAAACATAAGGTTCACTGTCAGAAGTGACTCGGTGGCAGTAGATTTTGGGGTTTGTATGATAAGTCCAGGCGATCAATGGTCTCACTTAACTTTTATTGTGTCATTTAAAAAAAAGAGCACATCTACTAAACAAACATGTTCAATTCTTAGAACCTAACTAAACCTATCAACATGCCACTTCAAATTAATGACTTCTCTTCCCCTATTGTGAAAAGCAGGATCCCTGGTGATGCAGTGGTTAGTCCTTGGGCTGCTAACTACAAGGCCAGCAGTTCAAACCCACCAGCTGCTCCAGGGGAGAGAGTTGAGGCTTTATATGCCCATAAAGGATTGCAGGCTGGAAAGTCCTCAGGGAGGCTCCACTCTGTCCTGTAGCATGTCACTGACTCTTAATCGACTCCATGCAAGTGGTTTTATTGTTAAAAAAACCATCTGTATCCTTTAGACTAGGTTGACCTTTGGGAGCACCTATGGTTTGGTGCTTTGGGATTGGTGGCTCTTCAGTGACCCTTCCTTTGTGGATGTTTTCTCTCTAGAATCTGTCCTTCTTCCTGAACCCACCCTGTGCCCGATGGGCTCAGCTGTCAGAGGTGCTGAGTTGGCAGTTTTCATCCGTCACCAAAAGAGGTCTCAATGGGGACCAGCTGACCATGTTGGGAGAGAAGCTTCTTGGTATGAGCATATTAACTTTCTCGTGTATATAAAAAGTGAAATGCCTGAAACGTCTGTACTTGTTCTTTTTCCCTTGTGGCCTCTCTTATTTTGTTACTGGTCAGAAAGTGTTACTCTGTTGGCTCTCCAAGCTGTAGTTTATGTTCGCTAAGAAACAATTGTGAGGACAGCACAGGACTGTGCACTGTTTCCTTCTGATGTGCACAGGGTTGCGATGGGTTGGAGCTGACTGTGGCACCTAACAACAGGTTTTAGAAATGATAGGAGCCCTGGTGGTGTAGTAGTTACTTGCTGGGCTAAGATCCTCAGGGTCAGCAGTTCAAAACCACCAGTAGCTCCAAGGGAAAAAGACTGGGCTTTCTACTGCTGTAAACAGTTACAATCCCAGAAATCCACAGGAAGCGGGTCTCTATGAGCCAGCATTGATTCAATGGCAATGCATTTGTTTGTTGTTGTTTTTAGAAATTATGGAAATGAGTCATTTCCCTATTGTGTAATACTAACATTTGGGAACAGAGTTCTTGGGGGAAACATCTTTCAGTCAGTGAAATATATTCCTTGGGACTAAAATCAGTTCCCTGACAAGGAGGGTGAGGTCACACTCACCTTGGAGAGTAAGAAGAAAGTCTCCTTCCAGGTGTGAAGAAGGCCCAGGCCTGCCCACCCCAGAGCCAACACGCAAAGGTCTTCCATAGAGCCTCTCACACTACGCAAATCAGAGGCCAACACAGCTCCCTGTTAGAGCTTCACCCAGTGAAGGGTGTTTAAACCGTTTCTTGAAAAGCCCATGGACATCTTTCATCTAGATTTTCTTTCTGCAACTCAAAATGGGTCTGGACCCTGGATTCTTGTGCTACTTTTTGTAGTAGGTTCTACAAAGTCATCAAGAACTCTACGTGCAGAAGCGACTCCCGAACCGTGACTCCTGGGGGAAACAGGGTTAGCATCCTGCAACCCTCTGGTCCCATCGTTCTCAGCCCACTGGCGGCTCCACGAGAGAAGATTCCAGCCGAGAAAACCCCATGGGGACATTCTCCTGTGCCCCAGGCGTCAGTCACTCACACACCCCCTCCCGCCAGCGCCAAACGCATAGAAGGCAAGCTGAGCCAACAAGGTTGCCTGGTGGCCCAGTTGTTGACTTCAGCTGGGAACATGCTGAAGCACTCACCTTTCCCGCGGCTCTGCCCTGCCGCATCTACCGGTTTGGACCTACCTTCCCGAGTGAGAGCATGGGCAATACAAAATCCTCCAATAATGAGGTCAAAGACAAGAGTTGTCAGTTCAACAAAAGCCTCAGAATCAATGTGTTTCCTGAAAAAATGTCATTTTCATCTGTTCAGGTCCCAGTGCCGGCCCCGAGGGTCTCATTCCATGGACCAGGTTTTGCAAGGTGGGTACTGCCTATGAGTTCTGCCTTGGCTGAGTGTGGATGAGCTGCTGCCGTTTCTTGCTGTGGTATTTACATGGTTCGCTTGTTTGGGAATTCTATCACTCCCTCCATAGAGCGGGTTGTGTACTTTCCTTTGGGGCGGAAGGTTGAGAACTCTGGGTCAGTCTGACAAGAAGCACCTGCCTGAGTGATAACATCCTTCCTCCCCAGTTCCAGTCTTCTGTTTGCTCACCTTGGCCCTTTGTCTGGCAGGATGTGAACCACTGCCATCCGAAATGTGTTCGCGGTGCTCGGTGGGCATCCTTTCTGACCCAAGGTGGTCCTGGGGGTCTGCTTAGTGGAGCCAGCTAGAGGGAATAATTAGACTCTCTTGGGATCACCAGAAGGAGCCCTGGCGGCATGGTGGTTTACACGTTGAACTACTAACTGCAAGGTCAGCAGTTTGAAACCACCACTGACTGCTCCATGGGTGAAAGATACAATTTTCTATTCCCTTAAAGAGTTACAGTCTCAGCAATCCACAGGGGCAGTGGGTCCCTATGAGTCAGAATGGACTCAGTGGCAGTGAGCTTGGTTTTTGATGGATCCCCAAGAGACTTTGTGAGTGGCACAATGGTTCCTAACACAAAGACTGAGAGTTCAAAGCTTCTTTGTGGCGACTTGAAGTAAAGGCCTGTGATCTACCTCTAAGAAACCACAAGCAGGAAAGCCCTCCGGTATGCAGCTCTGTTCTGCACACGGAGCGTTGTCATGAGGCGGAATTGTCAGGATGGCAAACGGAACACTGGGGAAAGCTTGCTCTACTTGGATTGTTTCACTCGTGTGAAGGGAGCTAGTTTCATGATTCACCTGGAGGCTCACCCCCTCTTTGGCCCAGGGAATGGTGGGTCGGGGTCTGAGGGCCAGTACGCAGGGAGGAGCTGTAATTCCGGCCCTGGTGATGCTACTGCCCACCTCTGCTCACTGTGCTCTGTGCCACACCCTTCCAGCTCTGGCAGCAGAGGGGTCTGCAAACCTTCGCTGATGGTAGGGGGGTGTAGGCACGGATAAGTAAGTCACCATTTTTCATTTCTCTGTTGCTAATGTGAGCATTTGTGTACTTTCAGGAAAATATCAACGATAAAAATTTTTCATTCTGGCTCTGGATTGAAAGCATCCTTGAACTTATTAAAAAACACTTGCTCTCTCTCTGGAATGACGGGTAAGAGCCATTGATAGAGGTTTGTTTTTATTTTAATTGAAAGATCATTTTGTTGGGGCCTCTTACAACTCTTTTTCTTTTTTTTCTTATTAAATACTTTTATTAGGTGCTCTTACATCTCTTCTCACAATCCACACATCTAGTGTGTCAAGCACATTTGGACATATGCTGCGATCATCATTTTCAAAGCATTCTCTTTCCACTTGAGCCCCTGATATCAGCTCCCCATTTCTTCCCCCTCTCTACCCCACCCTCCCTCATGAACCCTTAATAAGTTATAGATTATTATTTTCATATCTTACATTGTCCTCCGTCACCCCTCACCCACGTTTCCATTGTTTGTCCCCCTGAGAGGGGGTTATAGGTTGATCCTTGTGATTGATCCCCTCTTTCTATCCCCACCTTCCCCTTACACTCCTGGTATCTCTACTCTCATTGTTGGCCCGAGGGGCGGGGAGCAGTATCTATCCTGGATTCTCTGTGTTGCAGGCTCTTGTCCAGCAGTGTGCATGTTCTGGTCTAATCCGATTTGTAAGGTAGAATTGAGGTCATGATAGTGGGGGGAAGGAAAGCACCAAAGAACTAGAGGAAAGTTGTGTGTTTCACCGGTGCTATCCTGCACCCTGACTGGCTCATTTCTTCCCTGTGACCCCTCTGTAGGGGGATGTCCAATTGTCTACAGATGGGCATTGGCTCTCCACTCCATGCCCCCTGCCCCACCCCCCATTCACCTTGGGTATGATTTTGTTCTGGGTCTTAGATGCCTGACACCTGATCCCATCGACACCTCCTGATCACACAGGCTGGTGTGTTTCTCCCATGTGGGCTTTGTTGCTTCTCAGCTAGATGGCTGCTTGTTTATCACAACTCTTATACCAATCCATACATCAATTGTATCAAGCATATTTGTACATATGTTGCCATCCTTTTCTAGACATTTACTTTCTACTGAGCTTTTGGTATAAGCTCCACCCCCCCACCCCACCCCCACCCCCCGCTCCTTCCTTCCCCACTTGGGTGACCCTTGATAAATTATATATTATTGTTATTTCAGTATCTTACACCAACCTTTGTCACCCTTCCTCCATGGTTTCTGTTGTTCATCCCCCTGGAGGGGGGTGTGTGGTTATGTGTCCATCATTGCAATCAGTTCCCTCTTCTTGATAGAGGTATTTTTGACAGATTGTTTTAGCACCTGCTCCTTTTGTGCAAGTGTGGAACCCAGTTTGACGTGTACTGGCCAACGCTTCAAGGCCTCATGAGGGGGAAGCCCCAGGGGATTACATGGACCCTTCCAGAGCGTTCTATGTGTTGCCCTTTCATCATGTTCTAGTATTTTCAATGCTAAATTCGACAAAAAGAAGCATGTGCCTTTCCTTCATTCTTTCAACAAATAGTGCCTAGAAATGTGGTTTATTCTCCAAGAGACAAGACTTTGACAATGACAAAAAGGCCAGGATGACGGGGTGGGGCAGGGGCAGGGGGGACAAAAAAAAAGGAGTCTGACATGAAAATAAATAAAGTTTAAAAATTGCTTCATAAAACACAAACAAACCCCCAGTGGAAGGTCTAAATATTGGCCTGAGTTGCTAACAAAGGAAGAAAAGCAAAACTGAAATGGACTTGGAGTCTTTCATGACATATAGTTCATCAAAAAACAATTAAATACTGCCTTTCGTATTGCCCTGCAGGAGCTGTGGTGGGATAGTGGGTTACATGCTTTGCTGCTAACTGTAAAATCAGCAGTTCAAACCCAGGAGCCAGGAGTTCTGCTCCTATCAAGCCCTACAGTTTTGGGAACTCACAGAGGCAGGTCGACTGTGTCCTGCCGGGTCACTATGAGTCGGAGTCTACTTGGTGGTCGTGAGTTTTGGTTTTGGTTGTCCTTAAAACCTTGAACGAAGCCCACGGCCATCATGTTGGTTCCAGCTTATGGAGGCCTTCCTAGGAGTGTCCAAGACGGGAAACCTTTACAGTAAGCGTCGTCTTTCTCCCACAGAATGGCTGATGGATTCGAACAGCTGACCTTTGAGTTAGGATTCCAGTGCTTAACCCACTGCACCACCAGGGGGCCTCATGGTGCCTTTAAACCAAGCACTGCCATCAAATAGATTCTGATTCATGGCAATGCTATGGGACAGGGTGGAACTGCCCCTGTGGATTTCCAAAACGATTAAGTATTTATGGGGGCAGAACCTCTTTCTTCTGTGGAGTGGCCGGTTCAGACTGCTGCTCTGCGGCCAGCAGCCCACCCTGTACCCACTGCACCACCAGAGCGTCGATACTGCCCTCGGGCAGGAAGACAAAGATTGCATGTGATCATTCGTTTCTAACTTTTCCCTCAAGGTCCACTGACATTTCAACCTTTTACCCTGACCTGAAGTGCTAGACCATGAAAATACATTGTCTGGGCCCTCCTTTATGGCATCAAAAGAGGCATGAAATGCAGACATTTTCATGACCCTTCAACCTTAAATCATCACGTAAACATAAAAAACTCCTTGCGCCAGCAAGGGCTTGTTGAGCTTCTAACTATAGCATCCTCCTGACTCCGTTATACAACCTCTTCTAGACGTAAGCCTATTTGTATAAGCAAAATATTACCTTGAACGCCAATTCTATAGATGGTAAAGTGCGTAACGTGGTAATAGGAGAGGGCTTCGAAGGTCGTGGGATTCTTCCACGCACTTGTTGACGCTGCCTTCGCCGTGTTCCTCAAACGTTCCGTGTCAGGCGTCTTCTTGATTTGTGAGTCAGTATGGACAGTGGAATCACGCGTGATGGAACAACGCCAATCAAGGGCCCATCTCTCCACGTCCAGGTGTATCGTGGGCTTCATCAGCAAGGAGCGCGAGCGAGCCCTGCTCAAGGATCAGCAGCCCGGGACGTTCCTACTGCGCTTCAGCGAGAGCTGCCGGGAAGGCGCCATCACCTTCACGTGGGTGGAGCGGTCCCAGAACGGCGGCGGTACGTCAGGGCGTGGGCACGTCGCGGAGCGGCCGGGGAGGGGCCATCACGTTCACGTGGTCCCAGAACGGCGGCACTACGTCAGGGCGTGGGCACGTCGCGGAGCGGCCGGGGAGGGGCCATCACGTTCACGTGGGCTTGAACAGCGGCAGTACGTCAGGGCGTGGGCACGTTGCCGAGCACACGCCTGCGCACACGGGGATGCGCAGTTGAAAACCTTCGCCAAGTTAGGGCAGACCAAAGAGCGTCTGCGGCACCGAACTGTGTGCCTGCCCTCCGCGGGGGCAGCCAAATAGGGCCTGTCTGATAGGCCTTAATAAATCCCCACACGTATCTGTGATTCTGTACCTCCACGTGTTGTGAGAACAGTGGTTTTTAAGACATAGCCACACTTCCGTTTGGTCAGGCCCGTTGCCTGTAGATTGAGGATCTGCATGAGCATGATCTGCACCCTGTTCTTGGGAGGAAACCTTTGCCACAGGCATCGGCTTCCAGATTCGCTTAGGAAGATCCCACCTAGAAGCAGACAGGTGTACTGTATTGCTTTATGGGAAGGAGATGAAATTGTTCTCTTTCTAAAGCGGTTGCCCGTACCAGTGCAGCCTGGGCTTAGCTTGGCAGTTGGAGATTGACCTACTGTGCCTCCCCCGGCCCCCCATAGGGGACCCCTTGCTGGCCCTGGGTAGCTGCAGCTAGGACGTCCAGGCCAATTGGGGCATCAGTTGAGAAAGTGACCGTTGGGGAGTACAGAGGAGCCCCAAGGCTCTCCTGCCTCAATGTCGCCTTCTGCAGCTGTGAAATCCCATCATTAAAAGGTTCCTTGATATGTGAATGCTTTGGGGCCTTCAAGAACCGCTTTATAACAGAGGTCTCACTTTCAGCTGTTCCTTGACGTTACTTGGTGAGCACTAACAAAGCGCTAAGGCTGGTTTAAGAGTAGGAGTAAACTTAACTGGAATTTTATGTTAAGCATTAGAGGGAAATAGAATTTTTTTGTTTACTAAAACATTACTTTCCATCTAATCCATTTGTTTCAATTATTTTAAAATTTTCAATATGAAAAGAAAAGTGAAACTACCTTCTAGTAATTTCATCCCTCACTCAACCCAAGATGACTTAATTTGTAGTGAGTTCTTTATCTGTTTTTTGGGTAGCATATTGTTGAAGAGGCAGCCTTTCAAAGGAGTTTATGCCAGGCTTGCCAACCTAAACACATAATAGCAATTTCAATGTTATGGACAGTGATGGTAGCCTTATTTTTCTTCCTTTTAAGACATGATTACAGTGAGAAACTTAGAAAGAAAATATACTCTATCGGTTGTAATAGGGTGGCTAACTCTTAACTGGATCAGTCAAATCCATAAACTGTACGTCTCTCTCTCTGTTGTTTCAGGGCATTCCAATTTCAGAGAGTCACTTGGTTTTCCTTCTTTCTAGAACCTTACTTCCATGCGGTTGAACCCTACACGAAGAAAGAACTCTCTGCTGTTACTTTCCCTGATATCATTCGCAATTACAAAGTCATGGCTGCTGAGAATATTCCAGAGAACCCACTGAAGTATCTGTATCCAAATATTGATAAAGACCATGCCTTTGGAAAGTATTACTCCAGGCCAAAGGAAGGTACGTGGGGAGAGAGAGCAGTCAATTAATTCCCTGAGGAGGAATAGCCCCCCCAGCCACTCTCCGCATCTGGGGAATCTGGTTTCCCTGATGTCCTCAGGCTGGCTAGAGTGTAGGCCTAGTAGTAACAAAGGCTGCTTTTGCTTCTTGTGAGTGCCGGGTGCCAGCAGAAGCACCCCTCCTGCTCTCCCATTCATTGCTAAGAGCAGGCTTTCAAAGCGAACTGTCAGCACAGCGCAGTTGAAACATAACCCATGACTTGGCAGGTCCCACTAGGAAGAAGTTTTCAGGGATGTTGGGAGAGTGAGTCTGTTTCTGGTTTTTGACATTTGTTACTCTTTCGCTCTCTACCTGGAAAAGGGCAATGGGCTGGTAGGAAGGCGGTGGCCAACTGACCGATGCCAGCCTGCTACTGATGGGTCCCTCAGGGGTACAAATGGCTGAACACTAAGCCACCAGCAGATCTGTTATTGGTTCAGGTCCACCCGGAGGTGCAACAGAAGAAAAGCCTGGTGAACTACCTTTTGCAAACCAAAGGGAGCACAGTTCTGCTCTGACCACGTCTGTGGTTAGCATGGGTGGGAGTCAGCTTGCTGGCAGCAGGGGTCTTGCTAGTAGTAAAACTGACCAAACCGAGGCCCAGGAGCATTGAAGTGGCTCATTCAACACAACTCGATGAACAGATCGTATTGTTATTAGCCATTACTTTTAAGACCAATCCTCGGCTTGGAACATGGTCTGCTGCCTCTCGGTCTTTGCCAAACTGTATTTGAATAAGCTGAAGTTATACCCACCTGGTTTGGAGCATGCCAACCAAGTTGATGCAGGGGAGGCTAAGAAATCTCAAGATTAGGACAGGTCCATTGGAATGAAGATGCCCTGGCTTCTCCCGGAAGCTGCGTATATGACATCAGTCAAGCCAGTAATAGTAAGCCACATACATTGGCCTCCAACTTCTGGCAGTTTGAAGCCCAAGAAAGAGAAAGTTCCCACCTAGACCCCTGTCTGAGATCCCCTCTCTGTGTTTTCTAGTTGCTCCTGCATTAGCATCAGAATTCCAGATGAGCCAAGTCAGGGAGGCCTTAAAATGGTTCAGGACTCCACCCCAACTCTCAAGAAAAAAAAAGAGTAAAAATTTGATCAAAGAGCAAATTGATTGTCTTATTCCTGTGTAACCTCTGCTAACGGAAAGCCTTGCTCGTGTTCTTGCTTCTAGCCCCAGAGCCAATGGAACTCGATGGCCCTAGAGGAACTGGCTACATCAAGACCGAATTGATTTCTGTGTCGGAAGTGTAAGTGAGCACCGAAGAGGGCCGTGGTTAGTGACCTCCAGTCACTCCCACTCCTGGCGGGGGCCTATTGAAGATACTTGCATTTTGCTTTTCTATTGTAATTGCTGCCACTCTGGATATGTTGGAAGGATCCTGATAGGGATCCCGGTATCACTGCCCATCAGCATTTTACTGCCTTTTACAAGCAAACAAGCAAAGCAAAGCTGTATTTCAGGTTATTTAAGTTCTCCCAAAGCTAATACTTTTGAAAAAGGACAAATAAAATGAACAAAAATGGATCAGAGTGGGAAAGCAGTTCTTTTCTGTCTAGAAGAAGCCAAAGTCATAATTGAGCTACATTTTCTCCGCCTGCTTTTATTATGTTTCATTTCATAAAAGGTAGGAAAAATTTTGGAAAAGTCATGGTCAGTTGTTTGGCCCGCAGCCATTGTCTTGGGGTGACTGGATGTAGCCTCCATGTAAACACACTCTGCGGAGCAGCTTGATCTGCATACAAGCCTCAAGGTAGGGACGGAGGACAAGGGACTCTCCAGACATTCGCCTGGGGCTTCCCCGCGCTGGCGAAGCGAGAAGCACGTGGCCTCAGGCCACAGGACCACACATGCTCGCATCTAGAGGCCACCAGGCAGAAGCATCTTCGCAGGTTCCAGTCTGCCTCTTGCTCCCTCATTCCCATCTCTAGAGCCTGATACGCTTCCCAGTGGGTAGGGATGGGGACACCTACCTCTCATTTCCCATTCTCCTCCAAATGTATTTGACAAGTGCATGGATTTACCAGAAATAAAACTGAAGTCATAATTCAGAGTCCCTGGATGGTGCAGATGGTGCATGCGTTTGACTACCAATGGGAAAGTCAGAGATTCGGGTCCGCCGAGAGGGGCCTAGGAAGAAAGGCTTGGCGATCTTACTTCTAAAAACCAGCCATTTGACAAACCCTGTGGAGCACAGTACCACTCTGACACACTAGGGTCGCTGTGAGTTGTAATCGACAGACATCGGCGCTTTTGTAATTCAGGGGTTATAATGCCCTTTTCCTCTCTTTCCATTTTAGTCACCCTTCTAGACTGCAGACGACAGACAACCTGCTCCCCATGTCTCCTGAGGAGTTTGATGAGGTGTCCCGGATAGTGGGGTCTGTAGGTTTGGACACGATGGTAAGTATCTGGGCAGGGGTATTCTCCCCCTCTGTAGTTTTGCCCTCCCAGAGCAGCAAGGCTGCCGTGCAGACTCTGGGCCTGCCTGTCAGAAGCCATCGGATAGATTCTCCGGTGGAGCCAGGAAAGGGCTCTGGACAAGATTAACTGGGCTCCGGGATTTTCATTCCTGGCATACAGAACCTCCAAAACACAAAGTTGTGTTTCAAATACATAAAAGTTCCCCGTCTTCCTTTTGAGGTTGGCCATGTAGACATTTCATGCATTAAGGAGCCAAGATTTCTGCTAAGGAAACGTTTCTGATGATCTGTGACTGTGAAGAAGCTTTATTCCTAGGGAGGGAGGACGGGGTGTATACATGCCTGGAGGTTAAGGTCGTTAGGGAGACTGCTACTCAGCTAGCAGCCAGGAAACCCTCTCACCTGCTTTGCACTTGAGAAGTAGCTTGTACTGCTGCAGGAGCTCTGTGCGGGGCTTGCGAAGAGTGAGAAGATCAATGAAGGTCATGGCACGACTAAACATACGTTCCGTGAAAGAGACAGACTTCTTATGGGAGAATGGCTGCGGTGTGTCAACCTGTATTGTATGCTTTTTCCGCCTGAAATCCTCTCAAAAGATTTTGCTTGGTTGGATAGATTTTTGCTGATACAGTTTAAATGTTTATTGTTGAAAGTGTGTGTTGAGTGCTTTAAAACAAAACAAAACAAAAAACCCTAATCTTGATCTATAAATGACCCAGTGGAAAAAATTAGATGCTTTCTCTAGTATTGTAGGGAAGCCAGCCTACTGACCTAGGGGCCTTTGACCAAAGCCCATAAAGAGCAGTGCAGGACAGGAACAGTTAGCACCTCCGATAGCCCTGATGGAATTATGTGAGAAGCACGGGGCTGCTAACCTCCATCAAGGTCTGCGGTTCAAACTCACCAGCCACTCTGTGGCGGGGAAAGAGGAGGCTGCCTGCTCCCATGAAGTTACAGTCTCAGAAACCCTGTACACGGTCGCAGTGAGGCAAGATTGACCCGATGGCAGTGGCGCTTTGGTTCCCTCTTTCCTCTGTAGAGGCAGTGGTGGTTCCATGGTAGAAGTCGCACCTCCCACTCGGGGACCCAGGTGTGATTCTTGGCCACTGAGCCTCGTACACAGTCTCTCCTCCAGTGGTGGAGGCTTGTCTAGTGCTATGAGGCTGAGCAGGTTTCAGCACCGCTTCTTGGCTAAGGTGGATTAGCAGGGAAAGCCCGGTGATGTACTTCTCAAAACCAACGCCTGACGAGCCTGTGGAGCACCGTTTACTTCGGACACGCTCGGTCCCCCCCTGAGTCAGAATCAACTCCATGGCCGCTGAACCCTATCAGAGAATGCCCCGGGGAAGAGTTAAGGGTTTCTTTTTTATTTTTTTAAAACATTTTATTAGTAGCTCTTACAGATACATCTTTACAGAAACAGACACCCAAGGAGCAACTGGTGGGTTTGAACTGTGGACCTTGTGGTTTGAAACCCAATGCTTTTCTCACAGAGCCACCAAGGCTCCTTTGAGTTAAGGGTTTCTTAATGATTTTTCGTCTCCAGCCTATATCACACTACCGTCATTTATTATGCCTGCTTGGGTGACCTTTAGAGAAATTCTCTTCCCCTCCTCCCCATCTGGCATCCAGTGCAGATTTGCCTCATCCTTGTTTTGCATGAGATTTGCCTTGTTGCTCTGCTCCCAGACTTGCCTACCAGCAAAGAGCTTTAGAGAGCCCGGGTGAGCTCGCAAAATTAAGCCGGCCAGCAGCCCAGCAATAATCCCTCAGCAGAGGTGGTATGAAGGGTCCTGGACTAGCCCAGGAGAATGGACTGCAGGCTGATAGCTCTGGCCATTGCTGCATGGTGCTGTCGGAGGCGTCCTTATACTGCTGTCTCATTAGAGTGGACATGTCATGTTGAATGTGTGAATCTGCATTTCACAGTCAGTGCCAAGCACCTGACCGCGTGCTCTCTCTTTTCAGATGAACACAGTGTAGAGCATCGAGCTATCGCTCATCTTCTCTGGCGACACTTCCCTTCTCGTCTGTGATTCCTTCCCACTGCTCTCCACTGTTCCTCCACCGCCTACGATTCTGGGAAAATGGAAAGAGGCCAACCCATGTGCCGGAACTTGGTGGTAGCGAGTGGAGTTTTTCCCTAAGCCACAAACGTCTGTTACTCTCAAAGCCTTCCTGATTCTGACTGAAGGTAAAACTCAAAGACACTCTCCTACAGAGTGAGTTTGGCACATGGCAACCCACCAAGTAGACCCAAAGCCTCAGGACTAGAATGACAACCTTCGAAGGGCAGACATGTAGCAACTTCTGCCAATGGCTGCGCATAAAACCAGCAAGCACACAGTGCTTACAGGTGATCGATAAATCTCACGGTTACCTAGGGAACTTCTTGATGTAAAAATGGTACATTTCTACTCTCAAGAGTTAGTATTTTGAGGAATCAAATTGTTCTCTGTCAAAAACAGGGTTGAGGGATTTCCAGTAGTAATATGCCTATACAAGAGTTCAAAGCCAAGTGTATATAAATGTAACATGACATAAGCTGCTTAGCAAAGAGAATTATTCCACATCGGGGCAGAAAGAAAAATGAATTTATCGCATTACCCATATTGTCTCTCTTGCTGGAAAAATGATGCTTCTTTGGGTTATCGGGTATGATGCTATCATTCGGAGAAAGTACATGTTAAAGTCTCGCAGGCAGGGTTTCTGTTCACACCTGAATACCAGAGCAGAGGCTGTTCTGCTACTGTATTGGTCACTGTCTCTGCAGTTTCTTCATGGAAGGCTGGCTGTTAACGACAGCTCTCTCTGGAGGCAAAACAACTTGTTTTTCAAAACATTAAAATGAGTGGTAACCCACTTCCAAAAAGTCAATTGGTAACACAGGGGTTAAGCACTTAACTGCTAACCAGAAAGTCAGCCCTTTAGGCCCATCTGCCGCTGTGCGGGAGCAAGAAGTGCTTGCGATCTGTCTCCACAAAGATTGTGGCCTTGGAAACCCCAAGGGGCAATACCACTCAGTGCTACAGGGTCTTCTGAATTGAGAAAGGAGCGATCAATGCAGGTACGCTCAGAGATTTAATTCATGATTTTTAAGTGGGTTGATCTTTGTTATTATCTGGTACTTGGTCTACTAACCATAATATAAAATTTTGTCATTTTCAAAGCCAGAAGCTAAAAAAAACAACAAAAACAACTAGTAGCTGGCAACCCAAGTCATTAACTAAAGACAATATACAATTCAAGTCACTTAAAAATTCCCATGTAATGGCATCAAGAACTGCCTATTTTTCACTGATAAGTCTATTTTTGTCACCAATAACATTCATAAATGGTTCTGATTTCTCTTCTGTGCCTTTCCCAGATCCTCTTTCTGAATGGACGGGAAGTGCATTTATGTGTTATTAACTGCTTCTTTCATTAGCCTTGACATCAGAATGTGTGTGTGTGGGGGGGGGGGACTAGGCGTGACAGGGCACTTCCCCAAACTCTCTCGCAGCCTGTCTTCTCTCCTCGCCCGCCCACTGTCCCAACTCTAATTGTATGATGTATCTGTACTCGGTGTAGTGTGGCTGATGTCTCCTTTGCAACTGTTATCAAATTAAAGGAAAGTGCCTGTGCTGTTTCCTCGTGTCTGTGCCCAGCGGAGGCCTCCGCTCAGTTCTCCCAGCAAAGGGCCTGGATCAGACTGGCTGGAGGATGGCTTTTAAACTGAAGTGATAAGGAAATAGAGAAGAACAATTTTTAAATAGACATTGTTTCTAACTGCTGGTATTCAACTGTTTCTAAATATTTGTACCCTTGGAGATAGTTATGGTTTTATTATTATGTGGTTTCACTGCACAAGCCAGGAGACTTGATTTTAAAGACATATTTAGCTCCTAATGTTAGTCTTACTGGGTGTAAGGATTTTAAGTTGCCTTTTCGCTTTCACTCTTGCGTGTGAGCAAAAAATAGAATTATATATGTCTTCATTTTAAAAGATTGATAAATACTGCCCTCCCTCCCCTTTCTAACCAGAGTTGCTATGGTCGTCTAGAGATCATTAAGGAAAGGAATCAGAGATGGCACAGGACTGGAACAAGCTCTAAGGGGTCGCACAAAAACTAAACCACAGTACTTTGGTCTTGGTAACCACCACTACCGCCAAATGCACAACTAAATTAGCACCTCCTTTGAAATTAATTTAGGTGCTGCCAATATAAGTTTATTTTTCTTTTAAGGATCTATTAAGGAGGGGGGGCTGCCTTGTTTCCAAATCAGTCATCTGAAATCCATACCTCCAATAATTGGATGAGTTGTTACGGAGAATTTATTGCACTCACATAAAAGGCATGTCCCTTTTCTCCAAAGATGGCATCTGCTAGAAGTCTGTGAGCTTCCTAAAGTAAAGAGCATTGTGTGATGGACAACACCCTAAGGCAGTAGGCAGGTTAGACGTCACTTTGGAGAAATCTCAAGGGAACAGCAGTACAGATGAGCTGGAAGGCAGACGTAGAAAACATGATACATCTCCTTTGTGTAGCTGCGTTGTCTCCATCTCAGTAACATAGAGCTTGTTGGGGATGAACACTGAACGCTGTCTTTCTCCGGGAAGTAAAATATATATTAGATTCTTCTATAGTTGATCTTTGAAAGAAGTAACTAAATAGATCCTGGCATGCTTATGTTTTAGGCATAGTTAAGGGAGGGTTTCTAGGCTGTTTTATAAGCATAAAGCTTATGTATACCTCCTGGGACAAAACTCAGAGGTGGCATTAAGTGAGCAAAATGTATTGATTGCCTATAAGCAAAGTGAAATGTGAGCCAGGGCCAAAGGAACAAAGCCATTGTGCTGGTATTTCTTTTTTTTTTTTTTAACATTTTATTAGGGGCTCATACATCTGTTATCCCAATCCATACACGCATCAATTGTGTAAAGCGCATTTGTACATCGTTTCTCAAAACATTTTCTCTCCATTTAAACCCCCGACATTAGGTCCTCATTTTCCCCCTCCCTCCCCGCTCCCCCCTCCCGCATGAGCCCTTGATAGTTTATAAATGGGTATTTTGTCATATCTTGCCCTGTCTGACTTCTCCCTTCATCCACTTTTCGGTTGTCTGTCCCCCAGGGAGGAGGTCACACACAGTTCCATGTAATCGGTTCCCTCTTTCCTACCCATTCTCCCTTTACCCTCCCTGTTTTGCCATGTGCTGGTATTTCTGATTACTTCAAAGAATGGTAGGAAAATATTAGAAATTGTTTGAGAAACTCTTGGATGTACCTTTTGAACTGGGATATAGTTCGCAAAGTAAGGGCGATTTCCTTGAGTGGTTTTTGGTTCTGATTCAGCCTGCCATTCATTCGCCCATCCGTCACCTATATTGATGTGACGAGCACCTGCTCCTGGCGAGGCACTGCTCTAGACATTTGGGAAGCGCTGCTGGATAGAAACAAAGACCCCTGCTCTCATGGAGTTTACAGTCTAGTAAGATGTTCTGAGACTGGGATGTGCTACCAGTTCTGAGTGCACATGCCAACATTAAGTGGGCACACGTCCTTGTGCTCTTGAAGAACCTGTAAATAGACCAAGAGGCAGATACTCACACGGAACAAGGGGGCTTACAATCAAGAAAGGTATGTGTCAGCACTGTATCGTCCTCCCATACTTATTCAATCTGTATGCTGAGGGATTAACCTGAGAAACTGAACGACATGAAGAAGAATCTTGTCACATCAAGATTAGAGCAAGAATCAGTAGCAGCCTGTGACATGCAGACGACACACTTATAAAATGGAAGAGGACTTGAAGCACATATGGATACAGATGACAGACCACAGCTTTCAATATGGACTATACCACAACGCAAATAAGAACCTTCCAACTGTACCGGTAAGCAACCTCACGCTAACTGAGGAGACCCCGAGGCTGTCAAGGGTTCCGTTTTACCTGAAGCCACGATAAACACCCGCGAAGTCACAACCGAGAGACTGCGCAGTGCGTGCACTGGGCGAATCTGCCGCCCAAGAGCCTCGCCCAGGGTTACCGAGCAGAGATGTCACTGCCGAGACAAAGGTCCACCTGACGGGCCGTGGTCTTCACGACAGCGTCTTCTGAAAGCGACAGCTGGATGGTGGCTACCGGAGACCGAAGAACCAATGACTTTGAATGATGTGTTGGTGAAGGAGACAATGTATCCAGGCCACCAAGAGAACGAACAGATCTGCTTTGGAAGAAGTACCGCCAGAATGCTTCTGACAGTCAGGGTGACGTTGTTATCAAGAGGGACTGGTGTCCCGAGAAGGACATCATCCTTGGAAAGGAGAGGGTCAGTGAAAAGAACAGTCGAGAAGATGGACCGACACAGTGGCTGCGGGAACGGGTCCAAAGAGCAGCGGTTCTGAGCGTGGCCCAGACGGGACGACGTCTGTCTCCCACCCTGGGTGGTTGAGTCAGACTGACTTCACAGCACACGACCCAGTGCAAAACCTTACGTATGAACAGTTAAGATTTTGTGAAGCACGTAGAGCCAAAAGGTATAAGTACATAAAAATATACCCCATTTCAAATGTCAGCCCCTAAGCCAGTTTGAGAAAGGCTAAGGATAATGCTGTTTTTAAAGCCTTCTAAACCAATACAGTTCTTAAATGTTGACTCCATACTCAGCTTCCAAGTTTTGATGAACTGAGTGTTGTGTTTGCTGTAACCATTAAGTTAAAATTACTTTCTTTGACAAATTGGAGGGAAAAGCTTATATACTTCAGCAACTGTAAACTTGCTAAGTTTATACTTACTGTGTACTTAGTGTATAGGTAGGTACCTATGGGAGAATTGCTGGTATACCAGTGGTTCAAGCGCTTGGCTGCTCACTGAAAAGCTGGCAGTTTGAAACGTACCAGCGGCTCCAGGACAGAAAGAGGTGGCAGTCTGCCCCTGTCAAGGAAACCCACGGGGACAGTTCTAACTCTGTCCTACGGGGTTGCTTTGAGTCACAATCAACGCCAAGTCAGTGGGGTTTTGGTTTAGTGAAACCTAGAAGGTGGAAGGCTGTCACATACTTAAGCTACAGATTCTCTGACATCCCCTAACCGTATTATACCACTTGTGTTAGAGTAAACCAGCCCCTACCAAATGCAGGGTCTGTCGGCGCAACTGTATGGCGATAATAGATAAAGATCGTCTAAAGTCATAGAAGAGAGGAGAGAAAGTCAGACAGTATATGCTCACCTCCAGGACGGCCATGAGCTCGGCAGCCGGGTCCATGCAGACAGCAGGAGGAGGAGAGTGAATCTTCACTGTTTGGGCATATTTGTAGGTAGCCGTAAGACATGAATATTCAGAAGTTACATGCATTACAAGGTGGGTGGTAGCCACAGTACCGTCTGAGCTCACAGGTGAGGAAACCTAATACCGGATTGGGGAAAGGCATGCGGGGGGATGGGTGCCGCAGGTGGAGGTGGTAACAAGAATGTCTGCTTCTACAGGGAGACAGTCAACCATGTGCTCCCTTAAGGCAGCATAGCCGTTAGGGGAGAATCTGTGGGAATGATATTTAAAACAGGACAATGTACTTGGACTTGGTAAGTTATCTCTAACTTACCAAAGTGGTGGCTTTCCTACCATGGATACTAGCTTTCCAGAATCCCTCTAAGTTAGAGAATAAGTCCTAGTCCCATTTCCCTTCAACGTTCGTTCCCCCCTGGATCCCTGGTTGTCAGTAGCTGTGTTCAGCTCGCCCCTTTTTCGGCACATGAACGAAGCAGCCTCGACCTTCTCTGCTAGTGTGACTGCTCGTCCGGCTCATCTTCCAGCGGGCTTTGGTGGACTCCTGGGAGAGGCAGAGAGCTGTGGGGACGAGGCACACACAGTCAGGTTGGTTCTGTGCCATTAGCATTCAGAACAGAAATAAAAGTAATCTTAGCCTTTAACCCTGAGAAGCTGAGTCAGAACCGACATGGCATTGAGTTGAGATGCTATTATTTTACTTGGCCTCATGCTTTTTTTTAGCAACTGATTCGATTTTCTAATCTCTCCACACCCCATTCATTTCTTGTCTAATCTTCTCTAGTACATCACATCACTCCCATATTTGTGAAGTCTAATTTCCTCAAAAGCCCTAAGTGCCACCAAGCCCGCACATATCACACGGAGTAAATCTGCTGCACGCAATCGCTTTAAAGTGCTGGAAAGCAGAGATGTCGCCTTCAGGAGTGAGGCAGTCTTGTTCAGTTGCCATGATGACGTCACCTGCTTCTCTCTCCTGAGCGGTTGATGCTTTATGGATGTATTCATTTTGCTGTCGGGACTGTCGTTAGGCGCCATCAAGTCGGTTCCGACGCATAGTAACCCCATGGACGGAGCAGGACACGCTGCCCTGTGCTGCACCATCCTCACAATCACGTCTGCTCGAGGCCCTTGTTGCAAGTTAAATTGGGAAAATTACCCAACTCCCCTAAAAGAGGATCCCTGCCCCCAAAGAGAATGACCATGTATTGAGAATAAACTTAACTTCCTTGGGATTATTCATCCATCTGTCTCCCCAGCACTGATGGCAGGCTTGTGTCTGTGGGTGTATATTGTAGAGCTGAAATTGACTGTATGTTTTAGGACTCACACTGTAGTATTCCTGTCTCTTTAAAACCTTGCAAAGGCGGAGTCTCAGCAAATTGCTTACAGCCAGATATTCTATCCACAGAGGATCAGGATGTGGCAAGATGCAGGCACAGGGCACGACACGTACTTCACTGTCACAGCCCACGTTCGGGTCTCAGCTCCATCAACTAGAGGAGCAGTTCTCAACCTGAGGGTCGCGACCCTTTGGGGGCTGAACGACCCTTTCACAGGGGTCGCCGGATTCATAACAGTAGCAAAATTACAGTTATGAAGTAGCAACGGAAATAATTTTATAGTTGGGAGGTCACCACCACATGAGGAACTGTATTAATGGTTTGCGGCACCAGGAAGGTTCAGAACCACGGCTCTAGAGATTCTCTAAGGTTTCATCTGGTTCTAAAATGTTAGTTATGTAGGCAGCACACTACTAGTTGGCTTCTACAGCCAAATGTGGCCCTAACTTGAAGATAGAACAGTCGTGGTGTGCATGTATCTCCCGAGTATACAAAAACTGCACAATGACCCCAAACCCGAAATGGAAGAGTGCCGAGTGTTCTGAGAACCAGTGACGGCGGGCAGGTGGCAGCTGAGGTTCGCCAGGTGCTCCATCTCAGATTCTAGGGTGGCCTCACCATGTTCAGCTCCCCAAGAAATTCCGATTTCTAAGTACCTCTCATCTCATTAAGGAATTAGAACCACTGGGCACACCCCAACTATAAAAGGGTAACATCAGCTTCTGGGGGACGTGCAATGTGCCCGCCCACCCTCTCCCCATCAAGGGTGAACTCCTTACAGGATTCTGCCTTTACCACTGAGGTGCCTCCCCTTGATAGTTTAGATGGCTCTCGGCTCATAGTAACCTTTAGAAATGGTTTCTTGATTTGAACCAACTAGCCAGGGCCCACAGAGTTCCCATCCGACTGACCTAGGAGAAAATCTTTAAGAAAATTAACTTTTCACACAGTTTGCTTTTGATACATGTATTTATTGTGCTGTAAAAAGCAATACTACTTGATTTCATTTAAAATAAATATTTCCCAACTTTCAGAATCCTTACAGCTTATCATTTTAAGGTTAGATTCACTAATGGGAGGTTCTGGAAGTACATACATTCATAGCTGTGGAGTCCCCAGGAAAACCTAAAGCCAACATCAGGTCTTTCGGGCACTGCCAGCCAGACAACAGAGCCAAGTGGTGGGCTGCAGCGTGGGTTGTGGGTACAGCACATCACAGCCAACAGAAGTTCATCAGACGGAGACCAGTGACAACAAAAGTGTGTGCAACGCTTTAAATGAACTCAGCTCTACAGAGGTCTCATGATACATAAAAAGCACGTGATCCTAAAACAAAAAGATCTTTGGAGTTCATATTATAATGATGGCAGCAGTAAAGAGCACAGTCAACAGGCATTTAACCAAATGCATTCGCGACTCCTAGCCGACGGCAAGCACAGAAACCAGCGTGCAGTCATAAAATAACCAGGGCCAGTCAGGGCACATTTAACTTTACAAAATAGTTTTTATCTGAGAAAAAAAAAAGAAAATTCCTTGTTCCCAAAGAATAGTGAGAAGTCCTCTTTAATATACCTCTGTCTCTGAGTGAGGTATGATAGGATAAAGTGTATGTGCAATTCTTAGCAAATTCTGTTCTCTCACGTTCGGCGTCCCTTTTGCCTACTTTACAAATGGATCATGCACAAGGACGTTATGGGGCTCAATTTCAAAAGAAAGAGTCTCTTTAAATGATAGAGCCCATCAAAAATGACCCAGTCAAGAATCAGAAGAGACTTGGAGCGATCTAAGTGGTCCCCCAAGAGAACAAATACCTTGATGCAGACTTTCCATGACAGATTTTCAAACAATTGTTCCAGGAAGCAGTTCCCACACTATCGGAATCACTGTGGTAGCTGAGAGTGTCTGAGTGTAGTCTGGAAGCTGACCAATTTCTTCTTAAAGTGTCACCGCCTTTCACTGTTTTGACTGAAGAATTTGACTAATTTATATTAGGCTATGTAATTTGCCTCTGCTTCATCATCTGTCCACAAAGGGTATTGTTATAACTCTGATGTCAGAGATATGAGCTTTGTCGGACTTAGGTGGAAAACATGAAACTGCATAGTATGCCAGCACCCGCTTTCCCAGCTAAAGGAAAGAGGCAAGTGGATAAATGGGAAGAGAGGCTGGACTAAGAGGGTTATGGAAAAAGGAAACATTTGCAAACGTAACTACATTTACGCAAGTTTTGGTCACCAAACATATCTTAAACAGATTCCCTGATAAAGTCTAATCATAACTGGTCTATCCTACTAATAGTTGTTCACTATTATTATCTTTAAAGAGCCACATCACGAAGCTAGGGTGAAAGGAGACAGTTTAAAACACACAACCGTGTGTATTTGTTGTTCAAACACTCAAACTAAATCTATATTTGAAGTCTTGAAAGTCACACTATTTGCTTCTAAAGACAGCCTTGATCCATTTGGACAGACTGCACAACAGAGCTTAGTTTATAAATGCATATTAGCAGATCATCACCAGAAAATGTAAATTCACAACACGCACACACATACACACGCAAAAAAATAAATCAGGAAGACCACATAATTAAGCTAGCCTTGGTAACTATTTCCTTTACATCAAATTGTATAGTGCACGAGGTAAATATTGCTCACATTATGGAGGGAGATTGTTTTATCTTTTTTTCCCCAAAAAAGCTAAAATTTGTCCTGCGCATACAATGAAGAAAACACTAGTAACACTGAAATGACAAATGTGAAATATATATCACTACCAGATAGAAATACACGCGTTCATTCTCCATAATCATTTTCCACAATTACATAGGTAAGTGATTTAAATCTTGGGATCCAGACCATTATAATAATCCATCAAGGTTCTTATGGACGGTTTGATTTTCCTTTCCACTGTCGGGATCTCCTGGAGGTGTGTACTGGACTTGGTATTCCTGGAGGATTTTAAATACATCGTGGTGTCCGAAGTGCAGCGCCTCATCCATGGGAGTGTTATTCCACCTGAGGAAGCGGCACAGTATGGGTCAGGGCATTAGGCAATTTCTGGCAGTGGAGATAGGCCAGCATCTGTAGAGTTTAACTGCAGCTTGGATGAGTGACAGGAATGAAGAAAGGGATTTGGAATTCAGAAAGCGGTCTAAAGATAAGTTCGGATAGGAAGGAAAACTCTCTGGAAAGATTATGGAGGGGACCTCTACAAGGGAAGTTCTACTCAGAGACACTTCCAGTAGTCTCTTTTTAAATAAAATGTTCAATTAGAGTCCAGCTATATGCCATCCATCAATCTAGATTTTGACTAAAACAAAAACAACACACTCTTGTCAGGTCACAATCTCAGGTGTCTAGAAATAAGCAGGACCTCCCTGGGGCTCACACACGTTGGAGGCCGGAGATGGGCCAGAGAAGAACTGGCGTCTTCTCATCTCGAAGAAGGACTGACACCCATGGACTCAGATGGAACACTGGACAGCCAGAGGGAAACGACCCTTTCCGGAAGTGTGTTTCTAGGCTTTGCTATTCAGTGTGACATATGCAGAGTTTAAGGATGAGGATGAAGGGAAAGAATTGCCAACAGTGGTTACCCGGCTCCTTAGCCTTGTGAAAGACACCACCAAAAGGGATTGCTTTAAAACGCTCACAACCCAACAGTGGTTGACAAACCTGGAAGCCCCTCTCCCCACCCCCTCTCTCCACTTAAAGTTTACTTCTCCCTAGTTGCCAGTCTTCCTTCCTCCATTTCCCCATGTGCCACTCTCACTGCCCATCTTGTGCTTTCATTTTTGTTTCCCTTCTTTCCCTGGCTAGACACTCCTTTCCTCTGTTGTCTAACCTGCTACCCTTCTGTGTCGCTATTCGGAACTGGAAGGTTTTTTTTTTTAAGTTTTTAAAAAAAATTTCCCTATAAATTTGGTAGCCGGTTTTTAGTTTTAGTCAGGTAAGTAATGCTCTCCCAGAGAAGCTAAATTAAGGTGCATGTTTGGGGAGCACGTGGCCTAAACAGAGGCGGGGGAAGGATGCTTTCAATCATCTTTTGCACGTTAACTATGGAAAAAGTATTAATTGCTAGTTATGTTTTTTATTGCAACTCTTCTATGAAAAAATGCAAAATGTCAACTTTTAAAAATACAGTAATTTTATTTAAGCCTATTTGATAACTTCAGGAGCCACTGATTGTATGAAGCAGAAAGAAGGGCTGTCTTGGGTTTCTGGTTTCCATCTATAATTCTTGACTGCCCAGTCACCATGTTAGTTACTACGCGCTGCCTGCCTCTCAGCGGAGTGCCTCTGCTCCCACAGAGGCCAACTCGGGAGAGCAGGAATTGATCTTTAGATTTAAAAAGCACAGTGCATATCTCCATCATGTGGAAGGAGGGAAAAATAAAACTGTCTGCTTCTTGCTCTAAAAAGGCTTAGTGAGCATTATAGTGGAGGATAAAAAGAAAAACTGTCAACGCAAAGTTTCAGAATACTGGTAATTGTGATCAACTGGGGATCAAGATAGATAGTGTTACCATCATTATACAAGTGCTAAAGTTTTCACGTTTTGCATTTCTTCCGAGCTAAATTATCAAGCTCTAAGGAAGAGAAAAAGCTTGGCAAACAGCAGGAGGCCCCAGGTGGTACAGTTAGTGTGCTTGGCTGTCAACCAGCTGGCCGTTTCAGTCGGCTGAGCGGTGCTCAGATTCTGAAACACCAGCCTCAAAAACTCCATGGAGCGCAGTTCTACTATGACACGCCTGGGGTCGCCAGGAGATGGCACGAACTGCTTTGGTGTTAGTAAACAAAGATCTCCCTGCTAGGCAGTAGTCAACTTCATACAGCTCACCATCCTCAAACATTGAATATAAACCGCTTACTCAGACGGGGTGGGGTGGGGGGTGTTCCTAAGGGTTAGGCAGGCGGTGTGTTAACAACACAGTTGATGTTTCAAACCCAACTGCAGATCCACGGGGAAAAGATGTGGTTCTCTGTACCCGTGAAGACCTGATCTCCATGGAAATCCTATAGAGGATCGCTCTGAGTCGGGATCCACTCAATGGCAGTGGCTGGGTGGGTTGTCATATATTTTTTCCTTCTATTTTTCTAAACCTTTATTTCCCCTACCTACTGAATCATCGGTTATACTCTAGTTATATAATGTAGGTGTATGACTATAGAGTTGACTCACGGATATGTATATAACTATATTCTTCTTCCCCCTTGAGTACTCCTTTGGGGAACCCCATTGACTGCAGGGTGAACAGCAGTGTGCCATGGACCAGGAGGTAGAGGGAAGGAGCAGGTCACATGCCAAGCAGATTCTCCCGCTCTAGATAGAAAACCCTGTTCTCCTCCCGGTAACTGCAACTCTCTCTTCCCCAAAGCACTGAGTACAATCCAACCTCTGCTGATTCCACCCAAATCCAAGAATCCCAAGAAACTCCAATATATTCATTTTAGAGTTTGGTAACAGTACTTTTCTTACATGTTTTTATCTGCTTCAGTAAAGTTAACATTATATACCTGAATGGTTAAAATCTCCATGAGGACAAAATCTTATTTTGTTCCTTCCCAAGCACAAAGCATTGTTTTCTTCATGCGGCGTACTAGCAGTCAATCTAACCTAAAAAAGTTCTAAATAAGAAGTAGGAATAATGGAGAGAATGATCTACCCAACAGGAACAAGATTTTGTTTGTTGCGTTTATTAGTTAGGAGCCCTGGTGGTGTAGTGGTTACAAGTTGGGCTGCCAACGTCAAGGTTAGCAGTTCAAAACCACCAACTGCTCTGTGGGGGAAAATGAAGCTTGGTACTTACGAACAGACAGGCAGTTCAACCCTGCCCTCTAGGGCTCACTGCGAGTCAGAAGTGATGGGATGGCTGTGAGTTTGGGTTAATAGTTTTATTGATGTCTCCATAACATGGTGACATAAAATGTCTCTGATACACACAAAAAGGATTTAGTTATACCATCACTTAATTTTAAAAGTGACTTGTCAATTACATGTTAGCAGGTAACACAAGTACTCACCTGTCCTTGGGGAACGGATTTACTTTGCAGGCTTCCAGCAAAAATTTAACAACTTCAACATGGCCTACCCAAGACAAAAAGAAACAGATTTTTGAACTGAGTAGCAATCAAGTCTGATGAAACAACAACAAAATGGATGCGTGACAGCGGCTCCTGCATTACCCTCTGCAGCAGCGACGTGGAGAGCTGTCCGAGAGTCATAGTCTCTCTGTTCCATGTCCATGGCTGACAGAGCAAACCTGAAACATTGTAAGCACAGCTATTCAGGATATAGACGATGAGCTTCACTAACATTTTAACCTTTACTCCATCAGATCAATCTCAGGGCCTGTCGGACGGCTATCATCCTTCCTGAGGCTCTCACACAGGCTCCAGACTTAATCTAGTCTTCAGATATCACAGGCCAAACTCCTAACCATCAAGTATTTTAACCAGTTACCCAGGTAAAACGCCATCTCACTTCTTCCTTAGCTTGCTTTTTTGGAGTCCGGAGTCCATGAACAAATCCTCTCTTACGCTTCATTACCACATTGATTCAAGAACTGTGGCACACTTGAACCAAAGATTACTGAAGCTTACCCACGAAGTTATATGTGTTCCCAAAGGGCCATTCTTTCATAGTCGATTCTTTACAAGAACTACAAATCAGATTTTAAAACAAATGTTGGAATTACACAGTTTCCCCTTTAAAGGTCATTTTCAGCTCTATGAGAGATCTCAAGCTTCCAGTTCTACATGGTTTTACCAAATCTGGTGGTAGGGAAGACACACAGCCCTGCCCCTGTTTCCTCCCTCAAAGAGTATGTGTGTGTGCATGTGTGCATGCTCGTGGGCGCACATGCTTGCAAGTATTTTTAAGGTAGATGGGTTGAAGGGCATTGCCCAGTGCCAATAAAACATGAGTACTTATTAGACTACACAATTTAACCATTTGAGGAAACGGAGGGTAAGCCTGTTGATAAGTAGACGAAAAGAAGAGGCCGATGGCACTGGGAGTAAAGAGGTAAGGTCCATTTTGTCTAGGTAATTTTTGTTGGAGGGAAATGGAAATGAGACTTTGGATAGCCTAATCCAGAAGCAATTTCATCAACATCCTGTCAACCACAAGAGCTACACACAATCCTCCACCTAGTTAACATACCTTCGGAGTGCGGACACGTCTCCAGTATATGCCGCAAACAAAAGGTTTATCACTGACTTTACCTGTGGAGGAAAAAAAAAAACAGGCATTCATGGGGGAGAATCAATCCACCAAATGTACAGCTGTCCCTGGTAAGTGGCCTCTTGTGGACTGTGAACACCGCTGGACCACAAGGAAAGGCAATTGCGAGGGCTCTCCTACAACCAACAGAATACATGTGACAGTATTGTCCTGGAATATAGAAGGTTGTGAGGGACAGTTCAACAAGAAGGATGCAATACATAAGGGAGAAATGGCACAGCAACTGGAACAAAGGGGGAAACTTGGGAGGCCTGAAACTCTCTTAGTTGAAATTAAACATTGTGTGATCCTTCTTAGCATTTCCTTACCGAAAGCGGTTCACATACTGATAAAAAACATCATTAAAACAAAATCCTGGTAAAAAACATCCGGCCACTAACCATTGTATTCATCAGGGTCTTACTTGGAGACAATCAACAGCTTAAATGTAAGAGTAGGACTGTGATTCACTGGGAAAATGAAATTTGGTTTAATCATGTACAAATTGGGGCATTCTCGGAGTCAATGGTGCTAAGGTAGGTATTCTCCCAAAACACTAAGTCACTGCTACAGCTGACTGCACCAAGACTTCACAGTACACCTACTTTTGACAAGCATCCACATTTCTCCTTTCTATTTATTTCTAAGTAAATGGGTAGTTTCTGTGAAGGTTATTGGTTTTGATCTGGTTTTATAAAGGCTTTATCCCAATATAAGAATCTGATCATACACTGCATGTAAATACTGCATGAGATCCCACTTTTGCCTCATGCTTTGCAAATTCAACCTTCATAATAACAGCCAACTGATACAGGGCTCAAAGTTGGAAAACAACAATAAACTTTAACTGCCGGGATGGAAAGTCACCCTGTTATCCACCAGCAAAGCCACGTCCCTGGACTGGGCTTTCACAGTCTCAAGGTGGACATGCCTACAAGTCCCCCTGAAGACTTTCCAGTCACACGGGAGCTAACAATTGCTGTTTGTGAACTCAGCATTTTGTGTTCTGCAGAAACAAACACAAGATGCTTCATGAAAAGAGTCGTGTGGTCAGGTTTCAAAAAGACTAAATCATGTTCTTGAAGATTTATGAAATGCACTGTTCCACAGTACAGGAACCTGTTGAATTCATTAAGCATGTCCCCCAATATTACCATGATTTCTGATAGTGGCTATGAGTGGCTCACCCTTCAAGAAAACCTCCTGTGTCCCCCCAGAGGCCCTTTACTCGTCCTGGCTAGCTGGCATTCTGTAGTCAGTGCCCTGCTGACTCATCCACAATCCAGAGTCATTTTCCCAGTATCAGTGGAGGGAAGAGCATGATGGAATGATCTAGAATGTTCTAAATGTGTCTTTGTGCATTCTTCCACTGCTAACTCCACTCTCACCCGTCAATACAGTTCATAAAAGCACGTGAATAGCAGAAAAAGTCACACATGTAATACTTGGGGGGAAATTAAGTGTTTTAAAATACAACCTCTCTAGGTTACAATTCACTCCTGGAGGTGATAAAAATCAGTTCTTATCACTCCCTGTACTCCTAGGCAGAACGACTTCTCAATTCCTAACTTCCCTTAAAAGTGTTCTACATTCCTCTAGGCAAGATGACTACCCGGTCCATTATTTGAATTCCATTCCCAAACCTTAAGCCTACAGCTCCCACTGGGTTGTCAAAACGACTATTTCAAACTCAATTACAAGCCTCTCTCCCAGATATCCAGATCTCCTGACTCAACCTCACCTACAGGATGTCCCAATTTTACTTCTCTCACATCCCACCAACTCAACAGTCTCATTGTGGAATGGCACTACAATTCACCACGTCTGGGTCATGACCTCCAGTTCATCCTATACAAGGACACAGAGAAATTAGAGGTTCTCTCTCCTCTCATGAACCTGTGAGGCCCAGCACTCAGGGGCACTTCTGGGTGGAGGGGAGCCACATAAAACTTATGCTTGCCCCCCAGAGGCATGACCTTTTTCTAATTCACATAGATCCTGGGTGTTGCACTTGATTCTCTTTCCTTCACAGCCTACATGGACATCTAGATCATCTACAAATCCATTTAGTTCTACTGCCAAAATATATTTGGAATTTCCCCACTCATCACCTTAAATGGCTCTCGTCCTCACTTGAGAGAAGTCTCAGGTTATTTGGAGAGAAACTAGGTTTCAGTCCTGACCTGTACACTTCCAGCACAGCCACTGCCCTGTCAGAGGAGGTTTATGTGTTGCCCTGATGCAGATTTCAGTCTGAGTTACTGCGAATCAGAATCCACTAGGATCACAGTGGGTTTGGGGGATATAAATAGTGTGTTTGTTTCCAGTCTCTTCCCTCCATTGAATGTAAACTCTATGAAGGCAGATCCTTTTTAAAGATCTTCTACCTCCCAAAACTTTTCTGCAACCTTCTAGCCTTCTCAAAATATTGATCACCAAAGGCTTTCTAAAAAATGTCAAGACACTTCAAAATAATTCCTGATCAAAGTTAAATTATTTGAGCTTGTACTTGTTTTTTTTTCTGACATCTTTCTTCCTCAACCTCAATAGAACAAAATGATCTTGGTAGGTGTTCATGCATATTCTTTTGACAACACCCAGAGCCCTAATCAAACCCTTCTCTTGATCCCACACGTTCCCTGATCCTCCAATCACGGCATGCATCACCCATACAGTTTGTTGCTAGTTGTCCACAAAATGCCCCATGATCACATGGGCTATAAAGAAAAGAAATCCTGCTGCCAAGGAGTAAATTCCAATCCATAGTGACCTCACAGAACAGAGCGGAACTCCTCTCTAGAAATTTTTGAGAGTAAATCTTTACAGGAGCAGACAGCCTAATTTTTCTTCCTATGAGTGCCTAATGGGTTTGAACTACTGACCTTGTGGTTATCAGCCCAACCTAACTGATAGAGCCTAGGAAGCATTAAGTGATTGTCCATTACAATCCTAAACACCTTCTACTTTTTCTAAACCAAAGTACAGATTTTTCCCTAAACTTTTTTCTTTTACCATTCCTTATAAAAATGCCATTCTTCTCCTCTAATTTCTACTCTGATATCTTAACCTAGAAATAATATTTTTTCTCACATATGCCACTTTTTACATACAAGATCACATGATATCTATACACTTATCTCCTCCATTCCTCCAAAGAAATCCCAAACTCTGATATACATACATTAATGTTAGCACATAATTTATTCTTTTAAGTATTTATTAGTCCTTCTGAATAATAAATACTTAATCTGTATTAGTGACTGCATGGACTATTTATGTTTTAAATTAGGAATGAGAATATATCCAAAGTTCTACAAGATAACTTCATTAATGGCAAATAAAGCCCAGGAAAAACTGATTTCAGAATATCATCAGCTTATTCAAAGTACACTAACAATTCACATGCATGTTTCAGCTCAGAGGGGTAAATATAAGAATAAATCAGAAGACTTTGTGATTACTAGAAGGAAAAAAGCCTTAGCTTAGCTTAAAACTTTTACTGAAGAGTAACAGGGAAGTTCCATGTTCTCCCCATGAAAACAAAAGGCTAGCTACAAGGCTGATTAAGTCCATATCAGACATGGACTTAATGAATCACAAAATGAACGTCATTCTCTTCAAGGCAGAAAAACACTAGGAGGCAGCATAGGCTCCAAAAACCCAAACTTGAGACCAGACAGAGTAGAGCCAAACTGCCCTCTAGGGCTTCCTAGACTGCTGTCTGCACAGAAGCAGACCGCCACCGTTCTCCAGCCAAGCAGTTAGTGGGTCCGCACTGTGCCGCCAGGACTCCTTGGCACAGCTGCCACTGAAAATTAAAACTACCATGCCCCTTTACTCCAGCAAGCAGCCACCTGTAATTTTTAAGTTTGCATAAATTATGAAATGAGCTACGGATTGAATATCAACAGAACGTGAAAGGGACTTAAATGTTGAGACCGCAGATGATGTGCTATTTCATTTGGGACAGGCCATTTCCTGGTCTACTAAGAAAGTTTCACCAACATTGCAGGCTAAGTTGACTCACTGTCTAGAATAAGAACCATGGCAAAAAAACCACACAACTGAAGGAGAGAAGCGCACTCCTAAGATGGCCCGTGCAAACTCCAGGCAACTCCTTCCAAGGATGTAGGTGTGCCAATCTTTACCAAGGCTCATCCTCTAACGGCCCCCGCCCCCACCCTCAAAGGATATTTCAGTTACTTGTCAAGAAGGCCCAAGTCCAGAAAACAATCCGTCCACATAAGTGCCAGAGGTGTGGACCATCTATGTTGATGAATCACCTGTAAGGAATCACTCCTCTGTACAAAGCAGCCACACACAGCAACAGTAAGCTCACCGACTGAAGACGGGCTCGGAGACTTAGTCTGGCCGCCACAGTACGGGGAAACTTCTGTTGAGCCACTAGAACTTTATGAGTCAAATGTCAGCAGAGTTCACACTTCATATTATACATTTTCCTTATTGCAACTCTGGCAGACTGGAACCAGACCACCTTATCTAAGTATTTGTTCAACGTCAGAATAGCAGGGAGACAAAAATGTTACAGTTCACATGAGTTCATTTAAAACTGTTGAGTCCATGCTTGGCATGTCAAAACTCTCACTTGTTTCTAAGATAGCTAGGAGCAGGTGGACATTCTGTGAATTTTTCTAAGTCTAAATATCACATGTCAAGTCTCCTACCATTCTCTCATTCTTTTTGAGTGTTTAAAAGTTGAATTATACAGCTTCTCTTTGGTCTCTTACTTCTAAATGCCCAGACACTGCTGTAGAAGCAACAAGGACTAGAATTACATAATCATATCACTTCATATTTACATAGTGGTTAACTTTGAAAAAATTCGACATTTTTAAGTTAAGTGTTTTTAAACACTTCTGACAGGTTGGTGGTACAATATATTTATAGATATATTTTATTTATTACTACCACTGAAACTAAGGGCCTTAGATCAAGGTCACATAACATGAATTAGTGATGTAGTTGGGATAGGACTCATTTA